CACAAGTTAAAGTGTGGTGACACTTGAGTGAACACGTGGATGTTTTGTTATAGAACAAAACATTGGAGACCCGCTGGGAGATTCCACATGGATAACTATCTGAGTGTTAGTGGTTAATCTCTAATGTTCGGTAGTGAAATTGGTCATTTAACTTGAGATCATCATAATGTCTTATATGAGGACAGTTATACTTTGGTGATAGTGAATGTTGCTCTGCCAAGGATCATTAATGCAGTATCGTTCGGATATGTCAAGAATCATATGAAGGTCGTGAATGATCAATAGATGATTCATCACTCTTAGATAGTAAGAGATTATGATCTACATTTCATTCACTTAAGTTAATAACGAAATCCTTGGCCAAAGTGTATTCATAAGTCGAAAAAGAGTTTTTGACTTATATTGACTTAATAGCAAGATGAAAGATATGACCGATAATTAAAATTGACACATATCTATTTCTCATAATTGATCATATCATATTGATGAATGGATTATAGTTTCATCGTAAACGAATAAGTTAGATTTTGTCATACCACGTGACATTTCTCTTCACATTTATTACCTCGACACATTGCTAGATGTCAATCTAGGACAACGGATGTGAATAGATGATAAATTAAAAATAGATATTTTAAGTTATCAATTTTTATTATATCAAAATAATATTCACGACGTTAGGTATCGTAATCGATAACCTGATGAGTCGCACATAGAAGGAGAATCAGAAGAATGAGATTTCAATTAATTAATTAACAAGTATTATACAATTAATTAATTGAGTTGTTTGTTAATAGGCTCAAATTAATTAATTGGATTAATTAGTTCATTGACCAAATTTAATTAATTTGATTAATTAAATATTAGATCAAGTTAAAATTAAGAGACGTGTCAAACCCACTTTGACTTATATTATTAAGCCATTAGGGTTTCAGAAAAGAACAGAACATAATTCATTATCTTATTAGTACAAGAAAAGAGAAACCATATTTCTCTCATTTTTGTTTCTTATATGGATTTTCATTAAACGTTGGACAATTGGACAGATGTGGATTGCAGTTCATGACTTTTCGTGTTCCAAGATCAATAAAGAAGTTTGTAAAATTTATCAAAGGTATAATTCTAAACACAAAGAAAATCCTTAGTATGAGTTGAAAAATTATTTTGGAATTTGGAATATTAGGCTCCAAAGTAAAGCAAATGCTTTCCTGCTTTTTGTTAGTTGGCACTGCATAAAGTATGTACATTGTAATTCCGTACATTCTTGGACGAATATTTTGTACTGCCATATGTATTATACACAACAAAGATACTGTGTGTGTATATGTATATATTCCATGTGCTATTATAAGTGTTATGACCCACAGGGGTTGATCCAGGATAATAAGTTAGCTAGAGCGGTCACTGAGCCGCAATAATACATTTTTTTATTAATATTTAATTAAATAATGTTAAAAAAATTTCAATCAATATATAAATGTACTAAAATGTGAAAAAAATCATGTACATTTGAAAATATAATCCGATACAATATAAAATAATAAGAAAAAAAAATACATTTTTCAATCATACATTTACGATCAAGTTTTAAATTTTTTACGAACTCAAACGAAACAGTTTTACGTAAAGCATGATTAAATAGTAAAGACAAGCTCCGAGTTTCGGTGAAGGCTATGCAAAAATTTGAAAACAATGATTTTTAAAACTAAAACTATTTTCGACCTCAAAAGAAAAAAAGGATTTTTCCAACTTTTAAAAGAATAAAGAACAATACTTAAATTGTCCAAATTTGAATTTTTTAAAATAAATTAATGAAACTTAACAATAAAAGTATATATATCATAGAGTAATAATTTGAGTCAATAAAGTTTTTAAAAAAAATATTTCGAAAACGAAAACTAATAATGGTTGTGTTTGACACCCATTTTGAAGAAGATTTTGATTTGGAATAGTGATTGATGAAAAAATGTGTGGTTAAAAAGTAGAGTCATGCTGGTGGTACATCGGGGTGTATATCACGATGTACACCCCCCTCACATGGGTAAG